ATACCTCCCCCTATAGTTGGAGTCCACTTGATAGAATCCTCTGTAGCTTGGTTAGGTAAGTGTCTTGGCATTGCATTGATGATTTCCTGCACTAGTACAGATGTTGTTGTTGTCCAATTCCATTGGTTGTTCACTATGACTTTGCTAACCTTTGCCTTTCTTCTAACTTCTTGCAGGATCTTTGGGTTGCTTCTTTGAAGTAGTGGACCAAAGGGATGCCAATTATCAAGCCATAGGCTTGTTGAGTGTCCATTTCCCACTGTATGAATTATACATGGCTTAAATAAATATTTGAATTTAAGAAAATTTCTCCAATTCCATGAGCATTATTGGGTAGCTTTGAGGTCCCACACACTATAAGAAAATAGGTGTTTGGTTTAAAGTTTTTTGCTTTGGCCTAATGTCGATGCAAATATCTTATTTTTTTGCTTTGGCCAATCTAGTTGAAGCAAAAAGTAGACTATTTGTGTTTGCATTAATGACTGAAGCAAAGGGTAGGATATTTGCCTCGACATTAATGGCTAAAGCGAAAAGTATGATATTTGTGCCAGCATTGGACCGATGCAAAAAAGTCAAAAAATTTTAATTATTTTGCGTTGACAGTAACCATGAAACAAAAATATTTAATCCAAAACAATGTAAGGTGTATTTTTTTATTATTATTATTATTTTGCATCGACATGACTTTGAGGCAAAGAAAACCATAATCCCAAATATTTGTTTTCCACCGCAAAAAATCCTACTTCCCCCAAATCCCTTGCCCTCCCTACTCTTCTCCTCTGCCTAGGAGTGTCTATGGGCCGGGCGGGGCTAGGCCCACAAATTTTTTTTCCAGGTCGAACTTGGGTAGTGTAGGCCCAAGTCCTTACCCAATTGAGTTATCTGGCGGGGCGCGCCGGGCCGAGTTTCAGGTAGGGGTAGACTACCCGTAGCCCAACCCGTGAACCTATTGGGCAGGCTTGTTGGGGGGGTCTATGTTGTGGGCTTTTTTATATACACCTTTATTTAAAATTAATGAATATTTTTGTAACTTAATATTTGTGTAAATTATATTTTTGAATCAAAAGTAAAATCAAAATGAATAAAAATAAAATAATGAACTACATCTAATAGAATGAATAAATCCCAACTGGGTTGACACATACTAACTTATCTGTCATTTGTATTATTCTACCATTTAAAACTTATATGTTTAATACATGGAAAAAAAACTAATACATTATTTATAATATTTAAATTTTTAAAATTTCAAATTTGATATTGAGAGATTTATTTTAAAATTTTAAATTTAATGGTTTAAAAGTATAATTTTTTTTTAAAAGAAGGGTAGGCTGAGTTGGGCTTGACGGGCGGGCTCTTGGGCCGGGCTTCGCGCCGGATAAAGGGTTTGGAAAAAATTCAAACTCTCTTTTTAAGGATATTGACCTCGGACTCGGCAACCAAACTCTTGGGCCTAAATTTTTCAGGTCAAATAACAGGATCCGTGAAAAATCCGACCCGAATAAACCGGCCCATGAACACCCCTGCCTCTGCTCCTTCCTTCTCCCTCCCTCTCTCTCTTTCTCCACATCTACCACCACCACCGGCCACCCTTAACATCTCACCACCACCAGTCGAAGAATTGAGAAGAAACAATTTCTCTTTATTCTCTCCAAAGCTAGTACAACAAAAATCAAATGGGAGTTTAACCACCCACAATCAAGAGCCACTATTGCTAGCCTCTTTCCCCATATCTCTTATCCTTTACGCACCATCGATCTCTGCCAACACCGCCAACGACTCCTCCTACCAATGACTCATCTGCCATCGACAAGCCACCACGCCAACCATCACTGCCAACAAACCCCATTGTTGCAATTATAAGCGAAGAAAAAATGCAACACAACCCGAAGGATTTGTTGAAGCTAAGGATTTTCTAATTCAATTTGATTTTCTTTTTTCTACGATCCTACCAACAAGAAGCCTATACGTATACAAATTCAGGTGATTGCTTGCTTGACTGGTTCATTTTTTGGCTTATTTTGATTTATTGTGCTATGCCCAAGAAGTGTTCGATGAAATGCGTAGCCAATTTATTTAGGTATATTTCATTATTCCTCTCAAAATTATTTTTGCCTTTATTGCCATGTATTGATACTTTTGATAGGTATTTTTTGAATTTTTTGTATTTATGAAAACTTGGGCTATTATGCTCTTGTAAATATCTTTTTTTCTTTTCATGGATTTTGGAATAATTTTATCCACAGTTATGATTGATCCATGTTTATAATTTTTAGTTGTTAATTTATATTTTTTTTCTTTGGCTTTTCAAAAAGTGTGTATAATTATGCATACCCGTGTTCATGTCCAAAAAATAAATTAAAAGAATGTTCACGGTGAGTATTTGCATCCGGAAAATAGTTGAATCAAAACATGAATGACAAAAATTATATTGAAGATTATTTGCGTCTATAAATTGCCGATGCAAAAAAAAAATGACTATTTGCATCGGCAACCTACTGATGCAAAAAAAAATTATTTGCATCGGCACTTTTTTGATGTTTTTTTTTTTTTGCCTTAGCAATACCTATCGATGCAAAAGCATGACACCAACCAATCTTTGGCTTCAGTTTTTTTGCGTTGGCTATTTCTTGACGCTAATACTTTTTTGCGACTTTTTGCATCACCCATTATTTGCATCCCCTCCTTTGTGGACTCAAATAGTATATTTGCGGACGCAAAAACTTTTTGTGTCGGCATGCAAACTATTTGCGTCACCAAATTGCTGCCTCAAAAACCAGTTTTTCTTGTAGTTAGGATTCTTCCTTTGATGTGAAAAGCATGGATCCATTGAGCCCATAAGTTTTCCCTATCATTAAAGAGTTCTCACATATGCCTCAAGTAATGCTTTATTCCAATCCTTCTGCCTTTTAATACCAAGCCCTCTTTTTCTAGATCTTGACACCTCCTGCCATGAAACTTTAGCTCTTTTATGACCAAGTTTTGTGCCCTTCCCAATAAAAGATCTCAAAATATGTTCAATTATGTGCACAATCTTCTATTGAAGACTCAAATGAGATGCCCAGAAGATGTGCAAGTTGCTTACAACTGAGATGATCAATTAAATTCTTCCTGCATAAGACAATGATTGATTTACCCAAGACTTAACTCTTGATTCTACCTTTTCAATAAAACTGGAGCACTGTTGAGGCTTCAGTCCAGACAAAATGAAAGGCACTCCTAAATATCTAATAGGCAGGTTGTCTTCCTCAACTCTGAATAGCTCTTTGATTTGGTTAGCAGTTTTTTCATATACTACACTCAGGAAGATATTACTCTAATCTGCATTAACTTGAAGACCTGAAGTAGCATTGAATTGGTCTAATGATTTCTTGATAACTAAACATGGCAGAACAACATCAAGTCATCAACAAATGAAAGTTGGGCAATTTTGAGGTTTTTGCATATCCAATGGTATTTGAAGCCAGGATTTGATCTGATGTTAAACTGAATGAGTAGGGATAAACACTCCATTGCGATAACAAACAAGTAAGGGGATATAGGGTCTCCTTGCCTTAAGCCCCTCTTATTAGGGAAATATCTAGCTAGCCCACCATTGACATTCACAAAGAATTTTGTTGATGTAACACATGCTTGGATCCATCTCCTCATGGTATGTACGATACTTAGTTACTCCAATGATTCAAAAAGAATTCCCAATCAAGTGTGTCATAAGGTTTCCTCAAATCTACTTTTATAGCACATCTTGGGGATCCTTTATTTTTGTGATAATCCCTCATAGGCTCTTGGGTAAGCAAAATGTTGTCTCCAATCTTTCTTCCATAGACAAACGCTGGCTGATTTGGATTTATAAGGTTACGGAGTGTACCTATAATCTTGTTTGCTATGATCTTGGAAATAGCTTTATACATTATGTTGCAGCAAGAGATAGGGCTATAGTCCCCCATAGTAATGGGGTTAGGAACCTTGGGAACTATAGAAATGATAGTACTATTTAACTCCTTCAATGGCCTTCCAATTATAAAAAAACTCTTTCACTACTGCTACAAGATCCTTATATATTATTTGTCAGGCCCTTTTAAAGAACAAAGCATTGAACCCATCAGGACTTAGGAGCTTTTTGATCATTTAGAGAGAAAAACACTTTCTTGATTTCCTCATCAGTGGCTTCTGTTTCATAAGGACTTTTTCAAACTTTCTAGCTACACATCCATGTCCACCCCTCTTATTACGTCTAGTAAAATGAATACCCTGAGTATCTGAGGTCTATAAGTTTTGATTTCTGTAAGAAATTGTCCAACTCTTCCATCAGTGAGTTCCATTTCTCTCATTTTCTTGTAAGCTCCTGATAGCATTAAATCCCCCAACACCACTCATGATTCATTTGAGAATACTCCAGCATAGTAACTAAGATTGCTTCATAATGGTTTTCTTTTTCTATCATCATTATGCTCAGAGACAAAAGGAGGCTATGAATTGCTCCCTGCTCTCAAGGTGCTTGATCTTGCTGTGTACAATTTGATCTGTCTGAGAAATCTTGCTAAGGTCCACATTTTTATGGTTTTTTTATTATGGGTTACACCTAACCCATATCCTTCCAAAGTTGTGACTATCATATAGTGGGATAGGAAACTCCAATCTCAAAACACTCCATGGATGATTCTTGATTTTTTTACACTTTTCACCTTTGTTTCTATCAGCTCCATGATATCTAAATTTTGTTCTACTATCATTTTTCTTACCTTCTCAAGATTAGAGGTCTCATTAAGTCCTCAATTGTTTTAGCAAGCACAATTCATTGAGAAGGTTGGATCTTTCTGAGTAAGTGGTGCTTGGCCACCATGGACTTTCTTAGTTCAAAGTCTTTCTTTTTCACTTTTTCCTTCTTATTAGACCTTGGTTATGTGCAACCTGTAACTAGCTCCACCTCTTTATGTAATTTCTTGTTTGATTATGGCTCCAGTTCAGCTCTCAATTGTATCACGATTTCCCACCCTCCACGTTAAGATTTTCAAATTTGTTATGTGAAATAGATATGCCATGCTACTGGGGAGAGCTATTCCCACTGACAGTGATCTTAGTAACTTGGTGATCTTGCCGCAAAGAATCCTATTGAGTTGCAGAAGAAATGAGACATTGGGCTTTATCTGGAACCTTTTCACACCAGGTAGTAGCAGAAGATGAAGTTAGAAGAATTTCTGGCAAAGTTGGCTCATCTTCTTGAGCATGATCTTTCTCTTGTTGCTCCATAGAAATAGTCATAGTTTCTGCCACTGCCTTACCGTTGTCCATCATTGTTGTGGTGGGCTGTAACGGGGATGGTTTAGGCTTCCAGTTTTCTGTTTGGAGCAAGTGGACTCATTGTACCAAAAATGTAGCAGGCATGACTGATTTTTGGTATCCATTGGTACTCCACCTTAATCTCTATGGCCTCAATTTTCATTTGGATCTCCATGAACATATCAAAGCTCTCAACTAGCTTTTATGTAGCATTCACCTCAACACATATTCTTGCAAAAGTTAACCTCCTCTTCTTGGCTGTTAAAGTATCAACATCAAGGGGTTTACCAACTATATTTGCAAGGTAACTTAGTCCTTCATCACTCCAAAACTAGAGGGGAATGTTATGCATCTTAATCCAGAGCAAAATTAAGGAGTGATTTTCTTTGGTTAGGATGAGATCAGGTAGCCATTTCTTGAGGATGAGTGGTCTACCAGAAAAGAGCTAGGGTCCAGCTTCGCAAACCTTGGTTTTGGAGTCATCATCCATGAACTTAAAGAAATAGAAGCATAAATATCAAGAAGACCCATATTATCCTAAATCTTATGAGCAATAAAACTAACGGAAGTAAAATAAAGTTTTTTTTCTCTATGAAGTAAACGACTAGGTAGTTTCTCTACTCATGGCTGTCCTTGGATGCAACTTCCATAGGGGGTTAGACAATTATTCTATTGTTTTCCATTTTAGCTTCAAAATATCAGAGATTCATTACCATAGAAGGATGTTGCTACAATAAAATTGATTTTCAATGATGAGCTTTGGCAAAAGAATAGTTAAATTAGTTGTCAAAAAGTTATTTTCAGCGATAACTTCAAAAGTTCCTCGTGGAAATTTTTTATGATGTTTTTGGTGACAAGTTTTTTCTACGATGCTACAAGTCTTCACAAAAAAATCATGTCCCAAAATTTTTCTATCACGAATTTTGGTGCTAAATTCTAATTTTACTAGGTAAAAATGTTTGTCACTAAAAAAAAGTCGACTGTAGTTTTTTTTGACAAATAAAGGAAAATAAAAAATAACAAAGAGTAAAAAATTAGTGATGATTAATGTCATCGCAGAGTTTTTTATACTTGCCTCTCTGCTCTTTGTGTATGACAAAAACACACACACACACACACACAATCATAGGAGCTCCATCTCTTAGACGCACCACACATGCATCTAGCAGAATGTCCGTTATCATTCATCACTGTCACCGCCACTTATAGTATTCTCTCTTTTTTTCTCTTCGTATTTTGAAATTGCTATACCCTAATCCTATTCTTAGGGTTTACTTATTAATATTTAACCTAAGTTACCAAATTATTCATAAGGATTAGAACTGAAATCCTATGCATGAAATTATGCTTATACATACCTCGTGTCAATCCCAATTTTCGCTTAGAAAGTTTTGATTTCATTTTTAGAAATTGAATCTTGTTTATTTACCTTATATCTTGGTATTGGAGTTTTCATTTTCGCTCAGCCTGAAGGTTGGATTGAACTGATTTTTTGGTTTGAAATTGGAATTTATTATTACTTGCCCATAAAATGTCCAATGAAATGTATTGGACTTGAAAATTATGGATTTGAACAAAGATGAATGTATTGGACTCTAGATTATCCAAATAGAATAAAAATTCATTCAATAAAATTTTTGGTCTTGTGTTTTTGGGTATTGGATATTTACAATTGTGATACATTTTTGTTTTCTATAATTTCTATACACAAACGAATAGCATCAAAACATTTTAAAAAATTCATAAAAAATAAAATTATAAATAATTACTTTTGGCAATGAATATGTTTCGTCGCTAAAAGTCTCGAGCAAAATCTTTGTGGGTTTTTTGTGACAACCCTCGCTCTATTGCAGTGAATATTTGCATTTCTATGGATGAATTACTTGTTACTCAAGGGTCTATTTTACGCAACAAATATTTATTATCGTCTCGGAAAAAAACTTTTGGTGACAAATTCAATATTTCGTCATAAAAAATTTATGCGTGACTTTATTTTTTAAGCACTGATATGCTTTCTTGGAGACTGGACAGTAGATGGTCTCATAGCCTTGGATTTGGGGGCAGTAGAACCTTCATGAGTGTTGAGAAGTCCCTCTCAATGGAGGTGGTTAGAGTAATAATGAAACTTGTGTAGGGGGAGTTGAACCTTCTAGAGTCTCAATGCAGGTGGTTGGAGTAATGTATCCATGGTTATCATAATATTTATCAAAATAATGTAAAATTCGTTTGTATACTAGTAACCTTTTACACAATTATTATAAGGTTACAATAATTGTGGCCAAAATTACAACTTCCGTGGAAAATTTACAACAGTAGTGGACACAATTATCACAGTAGTAGACAAAATTACAATATCAATGAAACTTTTACAATAGCAGTAGAAAATTTACAACAGTAAGAGAAAAAATTACGATAGTAATGAAAAAGATTTACAATAGTAGTGAAAATTTTATAACAATAGTGGACAAAATTCTAACATCAGTAAAAAATTTATTACAGTAATAAGAAAAATTACTACAATAGTGGGCAAGCTTTAATCAATATGCTAGTAAAAATACGATTGACACAATTAACAACATTTGTCGTAAATATGACACTAGTGCATCCCACCAATGTCATATATTTACTTATAAGTTTGTATTATTATCCACAGTTCTCGTAATATTAATTAAAATAAAAATAAAATTGGACTATATATTAATAACCTTATTCACAATCATTGTAACTTAACCTTAAACTGTAAGAAATTTTCCTTTTGATCTTAGAATTTACCACAGTTGTAGTAAAATCATCCACCATTGTTTTAACTTAACCTTTTTTTGTTGTAAATATAACCTTAATCCTCATAATGTTACCCAGAATTGTCATAATATTAACCAAAACAGTCATAAATTCTCCTCTAAACGTGCAAATTTATTCAAAATTGTGGTAAACTCACACTCAAAGATAGCAAACATACCTCGATTGTGATAAATTGTCCATTGTTATCCTAAATCTTACCAAAATGATGGTAATACTATCCTTCACGATATGGAATGTAATCAATATGATGACAAAAGTATTGACTAACACCTCTAACCATATTTATTGTAAATGCATCACTAGTGCATCCCATAGGCGTCATACATTTACCTTTATATTCATAAAATTACTCACGATTATTATAAGATTAACCAAATTAATGATAAAATTGTCTTATATACTAGTAATCTTATCCACAATCATTGTATTTCACCCTAAACTATAATAAATTCTTCATTTGATGTTGTAATATTTCAACAATTATGGTAATTTATCCACCATAGTTTTAATTTAACCTATTTTTGTCGTAAATTTACCCTTAATCCTATTAATGTTACCCAAAATTGTTGTAACATTAACCAAAAAAATTATAATATTAATCAGAATAATTATAAATTAACCTCTACACTAGTAAGTTTATCCACAATTGTTATAAATTGACCCTTAAAGGTGGTAAGCATGCGATTAATTGTGGTACATTGCCCACAATTTTGCTAAATCTCACTTTGGTGACCTTGTGATCGATGATATACATTTGTGATCGATCCCAAACTTCCCTTTTTCAATAAGTTTTGGGAAAGACTACTGTAGCCTTGAGATACATCCGGAGCTCTTGGGATAGATTGCAAATATTTTGGAGATAAAAAAATAATAATTTAAATATATTTGAAATAATAATTTTGATATATTCAAATAATAATAATAATTTTGATATATTTCAAACAAATAAATAAATAATTGGGATAGATCGCAAAATTCACTTTCACCAAATTAATTAAAAAGCACCTTTTATTTTATTTACCAAACTTTGATTTCATAAAATTAGTACCAAATTGACAGCATATTTTATTAAATAAACATTAAAATTCATGAATTTAATGACTATCAATTTTATCAAATTAACATTGAAATTCCAAAATTTAGAATTTAATTTCATCCAAATAAACATCAAATTAACATTCTATTTCTTCAAATTATAATTAAATTTCATTAACACTCAGTTCAATTTTTTTGAATTAATATAATTAATATTTTGTTTTATCAAATTAATTGGATAAAATTGATTGTTAATTTGGTGGACTTAAATTGAAAAGTGTTGAAATTAAATGTCATTTTGATAAAATTAAAGGGCAATTTGATATTAATGATTTGAAGAAAACAAACTTTAAATTGATGATATTTAATGTAAAGAAACAAAATTGAAGATTAATTGCCAAAAAAATAAGTGAAGGATACCAGTGATCGATCCAAACATTCTTTTAACATTTTGAGGTATATTCTAAACCTTTATGATATATCCTAATCTATTGAGATATATCACAAAAAATGTAGTATTATGATCGATTGCAAAAATATAGGATTGGTCGTGATTTTTCTTCTTAGAATGAAAAATTATCATGAAGTACAATGATCTATCGTTTTATTCTATGATCGATCACAATCTCTCAGGAAACAACTCTTGGGATAGACTATTTGTAGAGATTTGAAAAGTGAGAATAAATTTTTTAGTTTTGTCGGTAGGGCACTATGCATGCACCATTTGCCAGTAAGGAACTACATATGTATCATTTAGGTATAAGTCATGTTTAGGAGTATAATTTGAGTATTTCATAGAAGAGAAAATATGTTTAGAATATTAAAATAAACCTACTGTGAGAATTTGCGCCTAAACAAAAATAGTTTCAAAAATTAGACAAAAAGGGTGTCCCGAGCGGCCTAGATGGGACCGGCTAAACTCGGCCACTAGCAAAAATATATATTGTTAAAAATTTTCATTGAAAATAATTTTAAGAACTTTGATTAAAATAAAATGTCGAATTGAGGCGTTTCGGAACGAGTTGTAGTGCAAGGGGTTCCCGAATTCATCAAGGGTAAAAGGGTCATTTTGCACATTTGCCCCTCCACTATAAATATAGCCCATTTAATGTAAAAATATCATTTTTTGGGCTAAAAAAGGTCAGTACACATTTTTGGAGGAAAAAAAAAAAGAAAATCCTAAATTCTTCAAGCTTCAAGCCACCGAAGCTCATTCCTAGGCCAAAATTGTTGCAAGACTTTTTTCTAAGAAGTTGTTCCTCTCAACAAGGGCTACATTCTCACAGATCGGTTCGACTGTAAAGCGAACACAACTCTCTTGGTTTGAGAAAAATTATTTTAGGTATGATATTTTGCTAAGTTAAGAATAAATTTAAGTTTTCTTGTCTTCCTATGTGTTGATTGGATGATTTAAGTGTCTACTTGATGTTAGAAAATCATTTAGTTGGTAGTTGCTTTGAAAACTTAGATTTTATGGTTTAAATACTTTTGTTTTTTTTTTTTGAGTTTGTTCATAATTTGTTGTCATGGTAAAGGTGTATATTGCTTATGTGTTAGATTATTATATTCTAACTTATATTCATGTACAGAAACTCTTGTGATTTGAGAGTTATGATTTATTACATGAGTTAATAGTTGTGCATTTGTAATTTCTTTGAGAAATTGTGAAAGTAATGAATATGAAGCTTGATTATATGTTCAATCTATTGAATAGTGCTTTACATTCATGTAGATAAGGTGTTTGATGTAATGTTTCATAGAATTCACATTGAGAAAAATCAAAGCATCTTAGCATACATGAATCATTGGAACATAGTGTGGGTTGAGCACTTGGTGCTATGCATTATGAGGGTGTAGATTCTATGGTAAAAAACTCAAAATCTAGCCAATGATAGTACTCGCGGGCTGACGGGGACGGACCGTGAAGCGAGGCATGGGTGACATAGAGTTGCATGGGTGTGTCATGCATGTTGACATTGCATAGCATTGAGGGATTATGTGATTGTAGTTTTTAAAATGTACACTTGCACATGTCATGCCTTAAATTTGTTTCTAGAATTAGCCTTTTGTCATACCAATAGTTGTGCTGACCCATTCATGAGATATCATATTACAGATGAGGCTCCCGATATTTGAGGCTTGAGGAAGTCTTAAAGGAAGGAGGGGAAAGGGACTTGAATGGATATTTGGCCTTTGGGCATATTTTTTATGTATGGGCATAAGACCAAATGACTTGTATTTTAATTTGAAAAAGTAATGAATTTAGACATTGAGTCAGTTTAAAGTGTAAGGGTGTAAACCCTATTGATATGTATGATATCTCTTATGTAATGAGTATTATATGTTTATATTGAGACAATTAAATGTGTATGTTGAGAACAAGGGATGTATGTTTAATTAATATGGATTGTGGCCACCGAGTGAGGGTGGATTGTGATATAATAATGTATATGAAATATTGTGAATATTAGGTGGAAAAAAGGCTTGGAAACAAAGGAGATTGTGTCAAAATTTTATGAAAAATTAAAAGACTTGTTAAGTGTGTAAAACACCTTTTAAATAGG